ATTCTGCTCCTTGTAAACGCATCATCCATAAAGCCAAACGACCCTTAACGAGAATAATATTATTTAAGTTTAGCAGAAATTCGTCAAAGTAAAAATATTTCATCAGATATATATATATAGATATATATATATATATATATCAAAAATTATTATTCTCGTTATAAATATTAAATTATACTATAAATTACTCGTGAAGTTAAAATAGCTTCTGATGCTTCTTTTAGTTTGTCATCATTTGTCAAATCATCATTTTGTGTTTCAGTCATTGAAGTAGAATTTCTATCAGTATTACTGAATTCATTTCCAATATATTCATTATCAGAATCTTCAAAATCAAAGTTGCTTTGTTCTGAATTAGCACTTTTTCCAGCAGACTGAAGAAGATCATGATATCTTTTCAATATCCTCTCATATGTGGGATCATGCTCGCTTATTCTAGGATCTAATATCACAACCTGAAATATCATGTAAATTAATTAATTAACCATTAATAGTAAGAACACCTAACAATAAAAGATAGTTGTCCAAAATAATTCTAAACAAGTAAGGCACAATATAGTGAATTAAACCGTACAAACGCGACAATTATACGGACCTTCCACTCAACATATTTCATCATATAAATGAAATATAAATTTTTTTCATTCAATGTTAATAAAATGTTTTGCGGGATAAAGAAAAGTCAAAATCGAATTTTTCTCACAATATTAACAATTGTAATGATTTCTTTGCCGCAAAGGTATATCTAATTACAAAATATACAGTATAATATATATATATATATATATATATATATATATATATATATATATATATACAGAGCCGGTCCTGCCTTGCATGCGATGCATGCAAAAAATACGGGCGCACGCCTTAGGGGTCGCCAAAACGACTTTCGAAAATTAAATTTATAATATAATATTTATATTTTTTTATATAAAATCTAGAATTATTTATTTAAAATCTAGAATACTTAATAAATTATAATAAATAATTTAACTTAACTAGACATACGGAGACACAAAAAGGATATTTATTTTAAATATTTATTAAAACAACAAGCTGATACCCTGAATATGACGGGAGAGCAAGGATGAATACAATTCGGCTCTTACGATATCAATAAGGAAAAGTTTACTACGCAATTTTGGATATTGTAAATGATGAAAAATTAAATTAAATTAAAATTTAAAAAATCCAACATGAAATACGAGTGTTATATTTGAAAATGAAAAGCTAGTTTTTTTAGCTCTTTTGGCATGATTTGCTCAACAGAATAAATAGCACAATAAATAAGTAAAATGTTTCCAAACCCAAATATTAATATTGCACATACGTTAAAAATAATTGAAAATTTAAAAATATTTGATTATAATCAATATGAGAATATTTATATAATTTTAATGATAAACTGTTAAAACGGTTAAAATTAATAGGGGGGGACGCTAGAAAAAATGTTGCATGCGGGCGCTAAGAACCCCAGGATCGGCCCTGTACATATATATATATATATATATATATATATATATATATATATACAGGAAAGGTCCAAGGGTCCTCAGTGCCCACATGCCATTTGTTCCTTGACGCTCCTTTTCCTCTATATTTTAAAACTATTTTTACATTTTTTCATTAAAATTATATGAAAAACTATGTGTGATAGATATATATTGTTATCGAAATATATATTACAGGGCATATATTATTATTATTATTATTATATTATAGTATATTAAAATATCAGTTAATATTATAGTATATTAAAATATCAGTTAAGTAGTGTGCCATGTGTTGGATTTAATCAGTATGACATTTTATATAAAACATGAGAATGTGACATATTTGCTTGTAGTTAAATTGTGATTATATCGTCTGAGAGTAATACAATTATGTTGAGTTATGTTGTGGTTTATATCTAGCCAATAGTCGGCTAACAATATAAGTATATATATATATATATATATATATATATCTATATATATTTATATATATATTATAATCTTAGTATTAACTACCTGCTCAGGCACACAAATATCATAACTGACACCAAAATTTAAAGTTAATTCTGAGAAACTCGCTGCTGATCCTCCATTAGTAACAGACACAAAAACACCTGCAATAGAGAATTGAATATATAAAAAAACAATATAATTAAAAACTTTTAAAAAATTGTATAGATTCATAATGATTAATTCAATTGCCTTTTTCTTCCTTGGAATTAAATTGGTCCAGAAGTTTGCGCAGCATCGCATTACTTTCATGGAAAGTCGATAGAAGGTATTTTGACCTCATTTGATTTTCATAAGTAATAGATAATTGAAAAGGAGCACTGCTCAGTGGAAGATTGCCTGAAAATAAAAAATTAAACTATAATCATGGAAATTCGTTGACGAATTTGAAATGTTCTTATGTATTGCAACCATACACCAAATTGTTGGGTCAATGAACACCTGCAGTTATATTTTTTCAATCATACTTTCAACTTTCAGCATGGTACTTAAAATTAAAAATTATTTTTAAGTTTAAAAATGGCTTTACGTTTCAAGGCTTGTTGATCAATTTGTACTTTCTGACTCAGAAAGTGTTCAGAATTTCCGCACATTCGAGAAAAAATGCTACAAACATTTAGAAGCTAAAAGCTAGTATTTGACATATAAATAACAAATTATTAATCTGTATGAATTTTTAAATTATGCTTAATATTTATTAATTTTATCTTATTCTAAAACAGATTACGTTTAAATTAAATTGGCACATCCGTTAGTATAATATATTATACTCAAGGGATAAGAGACTCGAGATATTAATATATTTTCACTAAGCTTTTTATAAATTCATTATTATTTGAATCAGAAAGCAAAATCAGCAAAAATTCAAAAGGGTAAATTCCAGCAATTTGCCTTATGACCTGCCATCCCAAAAAAATAAGCATTTAATTAAGCAAAAATTACATTTCTGTTGGTTCCGTACTAAAATTTATAATGATTAATCATTAGACTGCGACGCGGTACTTATACGCTTTGATATTTCACACAACTACACAGCGCGATCGCATTAAAACGGATTACAAAATTTTCAAAAAATTACAAAAATATGGAAGTTTTCAGGAAATTTCAAAATTTCAAAATTCTCAAAAAAATGATTTATTTCACAATTTTCAAAATACATTAAAGCTTTTATAAATTTTAAATTACGGTCGAGAAGTTCGACAATTTGCCTTAAGGCACGATGCCATGCACCACGAGTTAGTGGATTTTTCATGCACTGCGCTGAACGATTAATAGTCCAAGAGCCAGTGAACTATTTGACTAACCTGTTTTCTCAAAGCTAGAAATTTTGTTAATGATATTTTATTATCGGTACATTAAGAAAGTGGCGGTCTGGCAAGCATCTCGCGATTGCGTCATCATCCCTCGAGTTTTTGAATGTGTAAAAAAAAATTTTAACTTGCTTTCACAAGGCTCAAATTTTGAGGGTGTATTCTTTTAACTGTTCAGAAAGCATGTGTAAAAAGCCAGACCATTCTGACGGTTGCAAGGGTCTGCCAGACGAGTACATAATAGTCACGACGCGCAAGGTGTGGGCGCATTGCCATACATAATCGACCAATACCCTTGTATTTTAATAATTTATACGTCAATTTGAAGGTCATTTTGAAAACATCCGATATACCAAACTTCAACTTTGTATCTCACGAGATATCATTGAAAATATGCCAAAGTGGCCCCCTTTTCAAACTCAATTTTTGGCGTAACCATAAAAGATATCGAAAAAAAATTACGTGATTCTACTCATATTGGCTTAGACCACATAATGTATAGTAATATATGCTAAATAATCCTTTATTATTATATATATATATATATAATCAATTTGGTAATGCCGTTTTTGAATCTTCAAAGAATTGATCATTTAAAAAAATATATCGCTTATGTTGACAATGTGAAACAGTGATTAGTTTCAAATTAACAGTATTTATAATATTTATTTCAAAATATTTAAAACAATTGTTATTTCTTATTGATCAATTTTATTGAGCATTGATTAATTTTATTCCTCGAATATTTAGTTACAGTTTGGATAACGTTATGATAATTTCTCGTTTGTATTCCCAAATGGAATTATGATTTTACATTATAAGAAACACACAAATATAAACAACCAGAAAATTAGCCGTCTCGCGCGAAGTTTATTTAATAATCTACAGTGATGACAGACGATTTTAGATAGTTGTCCATAAGAGATAAGAGAGTAAAATGATAGTGCTTGTAAACCACTAATCCTTCTTTACTCGTATATCAGTATGAAAAATCTAAATAAAAATGACAAACTAAATTTTAAATAATTAAAATTTTTCAGGGTCCTCTTGCGAGGCCTCTTGAAGCGCGAGGCCGTCGGCGGTCGCCGACACCGCCGACGCCTAGCGCCGCTACTAGTTAGAGTTTTCCCATTTCCATTTCACATCGCAGTGCCCGAGATGGTCTTATCTTCAATTGGAAACATACTTTGATCTATATTTTCAATTGAAAATGAACATCGCGTTGCTCGATGTCAGATTGCCAGATTGAGGAATCGAAAGCGCGACCCCATCCACATCGGTCCGCGCGTTAACAATCTCGGTCACGACAACCTTATATATATATATATATATATATATATATATGTGTGTGTATGTGTGTGTGTGTGTGTGTGTGCGTGAATTTTCAACTAACCTGTTTTCAATGAACTTTTAGCTGCATTTTTTTTTACTGAAACCATAAAAGTATTTCTTAGCTTTCCTAACATAGACCTGAGTAAATGTTCTGGATACTGTTTATATATGTTATATAATTGATAATTCCATCTTGTTTTATCTCTAACACAACATAAAGAACTATGAATTATGCACTGTATTACAGATCTTTGAATGTCTTGAATAGTATTTGGCTCTGAATATTTGTCTTTGTCTTGCGAATCAGAAAGTGTTCTGAAATAATTAAAAGCTTTCCAGAATCATGATAGTATCAAGATACTTCTGATGTGATATAATGTAAATGCAATAAAGTCTGCATTTCTGAAAACCTAAATCACCCCCAATTACAAAACCAATTTAAAATTATTGTACCTGATATTATAATTTTCTAGAAATTCGTGTATAGTCCGTGGCAATCTACCAGAGAATGGTCCTGAGTTCACACTGAAGCCTCCAAATATTCTACGCAATGCCGTTACCAACTCAACGTAATGGACATTTACCTAAAAAAGTTCATAATAACTGACATTGATTTTCACAATCATACAGAATGATAGCACAATATAAAAATATATCATATTTTATATTATAATGAACTCACTTTATTTGCATATTCATCATGATTTACAGATTTTTCACGAAACATTTTTATATAATCCGTTCCAAAGTTTTTACTGATTTCTGGAATCCATCGAATTTCTTCTAAACATAATCGCACACTACTTTCTGTCTGTGGATTTTTCATTATGTATAATATCCTTCGTTGACATGCTTTTGATGTTTTATTATATGAGTGTGTAACTCTGAAAATGCATATGAATTGATAGTTATTTTATCACTGACGTCTTTTTATTGTACTCACTTGTGCAAAATATCGCGTACAATATACACAGAAATGGTAACACTTCTCCAATTAGGAAACAAATACATCAGGCCAACTTTACATAGCAGAAGCAACCTATCTTCATCGGGATGCCAGTCTACTCTCAACTTGCTCATCCTCTGCAAAGCTTGTTTGTCTATTTCATCATAGTTAGCAGGTTTACGTCTCTGTCTACGTGGAGCTATTTCACGAACTATATCTTTCTTTACTATGCGTTTAATGAAAGGTACACTACTAGACTTTTTGACTGCAGCTCGTTTTTTTGATTTTACTAACATTCCGGTACCGATCTAAAATAATAATTAGATAAATTGGTAATCAGTCTAAAACTTCAAGAATGTATAATATAAGTTACTTAATTAAAGCATATTTAATAATAAATTCGTATGAAAACTTCTGATTGAATTAACCATATCCAGTACAAACAAATACTAGTTGGTATTGGTATTTTGCCTTGAAGCAAGTTACATGAACTTCCTGATATGGGTAAATAATCGACTTAATCTATAATAAATAAATTAATTTACGATGGATTAAAAGTATTTCGAGTGGATTTATTACACATAATTGAATTTTTATAATCGAACCAGTATTCGTAAGACTTTAATGATTTAGTATGTTCATTAAGACCAATAACTCTATCATTATACCAAGTCTATCTATAAATCGCCTAATTTTAATTTTTACAAACGTCCAAAAAACTACTTATTTTCTCAAACTTTGATGAATTTTTAAAATTAATTTACTTGTCGTAAGACCGTAATATTTTAGTAAGTTCTCTAAGACCATGATATATATCGTCAAAAACAAAGTTTCATAAAAATTTGCTTAAATTTTTTTTTCAACAGTTAATTACAAGAAAACGGCTCGGTAGATTTTCACCTAAAACTATAATCAGTATCATTCCCAACTAATATCTTTCGAACAGTTTTTGATTTTTTTAAATCGATTCGGTAGTATGAGCTTAAATGTGGACGAGAAGTTTAACACTTTTTTCCAAATTACAAAGAAACAGCTCGGAAGATCGTCGCACAAACGATAGTCCTCATTGAGATACATCAAATGGCTTTTAAATTTCTGAAATCGGTTCAGGCGTTTTTGAGCAAACGTCGATGGAAGGTCTAATTTTGACAAATGCCAAAAAACGATACTATGTACGTTGATGAATTTTTAAAATTAAACGACTTGTAGGGCCGTAATATTTTAGTATGATCTATAAGACTATGGTATCTACCGTAAAAAAAACTCATACAAATCGTTGAAAAAGAAAAATTTAACACTATATTACGAGAAAACGGCCGGTCGGTCTTTGAATTTTTAAAATCGAGTCAGCTATTACAAGATCATCTAGATATTGCTACAAAATGGCTTTCTTTATGGAGAACTATGACAAACGGCGTAAAATCTACGCATATCACTTACACGCTGCGTACTGGTATATGCCCTACAATTAAGTTAAATGGACAGCAAATCCCAGTAAAAGATAGCGTAAAATATCTCGGAATACACCTAGACTCAAAATTGAAATGGAGAGTTCACATTGACAAAAAAAAAAACAGCAAACTGATGAACTATTTAAAAAACATTACTGGTTGCTGAATAAACGATCCGAACTATCGACAAACAACAAACTAATTATTTACAAATGTATTTTCAAATCAGTGTTGTCTTATTGGATTCAACTATGGGGCACCGCCAAAAAAACAATATACAGAACATTCAGCGAGTGCAGAACAAGATCATACGGCAGGCACTGAACGCACCCAGGTACGTTCCCAACTGGTTGATTCACTAGGACAGCAACATGATGACAGTAAATGAAATAATTCAACAAACTAGCTGTAAGTGGAATTCTGTCTTAAGGCAAGTAGGGCATCGTGCCTTAAAGCAAATTGCTGGAACTTCCCGTACCAAAAATTATTATTTTTTTTAAAAACCATTAACATTTTTGAAAAAAAATTACTTCGAAAAAATAAGATTTTTGAGAAACTATAAATTTGACAAAAAAATACTTTTTTTTGAAAAAAAAATTTAAAAAAAAATCATTAAAATTTTTTTTTTTTAATCTTTTTTTTTTTTTTGAAAAAAAAATGTTTTCTTTATTCTGACATATGTTGGAAGATCTGAACTTTTTTTCAAAGCAATCGTACTGTTTTAAATGCATAGAGACAAAATATAAAGCGCGTAAGCGCCACGTCGCTGTCTAACGGGTAAACATTGGTACGGAACCCATAGGAATGTAAACAAAATTTATACTTATTGTTAAAATCTCTATAAAATATTTGATAATTTGATGTGCATATGTCTAATGATCATTTTTGACCGCCAAATGGCATTTTTTTTTTACTTTTTTCGTTATATCTCCGAAACCGCTAAACCTGCCCTTATAAAAATTTGATCAAATCTTCATCTTGTCAATACAAGTAAAATGTTTTTTGAATTATCAAATCGGACGCTCCGTTCTATTAAAAACTGAGGTACCGTTTTTGGCACTTTTTGCCCCATATCTTCGGAACGGCTAGACCTGCCTCCGCCAAAAACTAATCAGCACGTATACGAATCGAATGTTTTTTGAATTATTCAAATCGCTTCCTCCGTGTTCCCGAAATCGTCGACGAAAATTTGTATCCGCACACACACACACATACATCCATTTTTTCTAAGGTATGCCAAAATATTCAGAAACCTCTGAAACGTAAAGATATATAAAAATTTTCATTTTCGATTTTTTTTGCGATTACTATAACTTACCCTACGGGAAGTTAAAAACAGACAACTATAAAAGAAGAATTGAACACCCAAATCATTTGGCACAAAAAGTATTCTCAGAAGCGCGCCCAACCAGGCTAAAACAAAAAATTCCCAATGATCTCATAAATAGCCATCTGTAAACGCTAGCATTATTATTATTATCTTATTATTTCTAATATTGTTATTTTGTTATATTTTATTGTTTTTCTAGTATTATTTTATTATTCAGAAATTTTATTTATTTTATTTATTAATTTTTTTTTTTTTAATGATTTGCTTTTATTTTATATTAAATCATACTACGGATATCATTTTAATGTAAATTATATCCTTTGTACTCTTATTTATTTAAATTTATGTTATTATTTATCATCATTACTAAATGTTATATTTATTTAACAGTTGTAATAAATATTGTAAATAAAAAAAATCGAGTCAGAATTGCGGGCTAAAACGTGGATTAAAATTTTTTCACTTTTCTGCGATTTGCAAAGAAACGGTTCGGCCGATCGTAGCGCAAAACTGACAAGGATAGTCCTCATCGAGATACATCGAATGGCTTTTAAATTTTTGAAATCGGTCCAGTCGTTTTTGAGAAAACATCGATTTACGGCAAAAAATCTGTTCACACACACGCACACACACATACTTTTTCCAAAGTCTCATTCAATTCAGAATGGCTTGAAACCTCGAGAAAACATAAAATTAGCGAATCGAATTTTTTGATCAAAACAAACTTCTCCTTCGGGAAGTTAATAGCGCAAAAAGGCATAAATATATAAAAAATTAATAAGTAATAAGCTATTCCAATTATTTATTGGCAACAACATTATTAAAATATGAAGCCTACCTGCAAAGTGGCTGCAGTAATTTTTTTGTGACACGGTAAATCTTTTAACGATACACTTTTCTGCACTGATTTCAGCTGAGCATCTCGAACGCTATGAACGTCTTCTTTTTTGAAATTCTGATGTCCACCATAAGAGACACTGGTCCAATGCCAATTGCGTTTAAGGTGGGAAAACATTGAAGAATCCACGCCAGCGGCACCACGTCTATCCCCCGGCATGTACCTGAAATATTAAAACAATATCATGTATTCATATAACTTTAAGAACAATAAGAAATATTATATGGTTAATAATAATATAAATAGGTTTACAATTTCAATTAATATAATTATCATATAGGTTTTATTATTATAATGTTACTTTAGCAACAATCTTATTTTATACAATTTAATATTGATTAATTGACTAATTTTTAATTTATTTTACTGTTCTTTTTTGTAAAAGATTTCATTAAATTATTTTATAGAATATTGGCTTAAATCAGTGATTTCCAACCTGTGGGGCGCGCCCCCCTGGGAGGGCGCCATACCGTTCCAAGGGGGGCGCGAAGCTGTTTCAAAAATATTATTTTTAAATGCTGAGTAAGTGTCAAAAACAAATCAGCAAAATACTTAAAGTACTTGTAAGAGTGTTTGAGCTCAAAAAAGAAATTGCTATATTTCTTGCTGATAACAAAAGAGACGGAGCAATCTTGTTTTAGGACACAAAGTTTCTCGCAAAATTTGCGTATTTAGTTGATATTTTTCAAAGACTTAGCGATTTAAATAAATCAATGCAAGGATCTCAAATTCGTGCTTTTGTTCAGAAAGACAAGATTACGGCTTTTATGAGAAAATTAGAACTGTGTATAGCTAGTATCAAATAACTTTATAACTTTAACATGTTTCCCACTTTTAAAATTACTTGTGTTACTGATGAAATAGAAGTAAGTAAAGATCTTATTATTATATCAGTCATATGACTAGTCTACGAAACCAATTTTCGCATTACTTTATCTAATTACGTCCAAATATGAATGGATTAGAAATCCATTTGTCATTGAGAAACATGATGATTTTGGTCATTCAACAGCAGAGCAGAAAATGATAATTGATTTATCTAGTGATAGCACATTGAAGCAGATGTTTCAGGACGAAAATATATTGTTGGGTTTTGGTTACCAGTAAAGGACGATTTTCCTACTTTGACAAATAATGCTTTAGAAATATTATTACCATTTATGAGATCTTACTTATGTGAAACAGAAAATTCTTATAATAAATAGTTATGTTTGTATGTATATTTTTATAATATTGTATATTATTTGGCATAATTTCAGTTATATTAAGTATATTTAAATTAAATTGTTAGAAAAATCAGAATGGGGGGCGCAATATTTTTTTCATTCAAAAGGGGAGCGCAAGGAAGAAAAGGTTGGAAACCGCTGGCTTAAATAATCAATGAAAACGTTATTAGATGTGAAACTTTTGAAAATATAAAACAAGCTGTGGTCGTTGTTTTAATGCTTATACTGTCAAATCACAAATTCGATTAGAAAGTATTCATGAACTAAAAACAGGGTTTAAAATACAACTGAAATCAATTAGAATTACCCAATGTCCGCTAAAATAGCTTCTTCTGGTTCTTTAGCCTTTAGAGACTCTTGCAAAATGGCTTTGTAAGATATTTTTTCCATGATTATTTGTTGTCCCATTAAGGTGTTTCTCAATCCTAAACTTGTATGCACACTTATATCCCAAAATTCACACCTGAGATACATATTGATCATAGATAAGGATATTGATCATGTTTATAAATTTCTTAACATATTTAATATCGATAATAATTTATCGAACGAAATAATAATAAATAACTAGTGGTGTATGGCATCGTGCCTTAAGGCAAATTGCTGGAACTTTCCGTACCGTAATGAAATATTCGAGAATAATTAAATGTTTTCAAATAGATTATTATGAATACTGAAACTTATATATGTTCACAGAAAAGTAAATAAAACTTAATCAATCGAATTTAAAATGAAGGACATAGTGTAATATTTATAAGAATTATATAAACTAAATTGCAAAGTTAAAGTTATTTATTTGACGTATATAAGCTTTAGAACTTTAGCTGGAATTAGAATTAAAATCAGAATTATTTTTCATATTCAAAAAAAATATTTTTAGAGATTAAAAAAAAATTTTATTTCTATTATAAAATTTATATTTATAAATGATTATTTAGCATATATATTAATATACATTATGTGGTCCAAGCCAATGTGAGTAGAATCACGTAGTTTCTTTTTCGATATCTTTTATGGTTACGCCAAAAATAGAGTTTGAAAAAGGGGCCACTTTGGCATACTTTCAATGATATCTCGGCCATATGGTGAGATACAAATTTGATGTTTGGTATATCGAATGTTTTCAAAAAGACCTTCAAAATGGCGTATAAATTATTTAAATACAAGGGTTTAGCCGATTATGTATGGCATTATATACTCGACTGGCAGACCCTTGCAACCGTCAGAATGGGATGGCTGATAGCATATATTTCCTAAACAGTTAAAAAAATGCACCCTCAAATTTTGAGCTTTTTGGGAGCACGTTATGAAATTTGTTTTTTTGACATTTTCAAAAATTGATGGGATGATGACGCAACCGCGGAATGACTGCCAGAATGGTACTTTCTTAATGGGTCGATAATAAAATATCATTAAAAAAAATTCTAGCTGTGTGAAAACAGGTTATTCAAATAGTTCACTGGCTCTTCTACTATTTGTGTATCTGGGAAACGGCTGGACCGACCTTTCCTAAAAATTTTTCGATTTTGTTTTATTTTTTTATCGCACCCTTATATACCTATTTTAATCCAATAAGTATAATTAGCCTGGTAAATTAACCTGGTTTGTACGTTAAATCAGAGTTTTTTTAAAGCGAGATTTCCATATTACGCGGAACGATCTCGTCACGTACTAGGAAGGTTGACTGTATATACATATAAGTAATAATAAATAGTAGTCTGCCCGAAAACAGGTCCATAGTATGAGAGCATCTCAAAATCAACGATTTCCTACCCCTTCCGTGTTTATTATTCCCGTTACCATTTTATTACCATTAATTAATTACCACTAATCACATTACATTCGTTTTTATGAATTTTCCTTTCAAAACTTCTGCTTCCAAGCTTCCTGGTCCTGTGCTTCGACTTATATATTTACATATACATATATACATACATATACACACACACATATATATATATATATATATATATATATATATACAGTTAAAACATACATATTGATCTTGTTAACTTCCCGTAGGGCAAGTCATAGTAATCGCAAAAAAATCGAAAATAAAAATTTTTATTTTCTTTAGGTTTCAAAGCTTTCTGAATATTGTGGCATACCTTAGAAAAAATGGATGTACGTGTGTGTTTGTTTTTTTTTTTGTATAGCGAAGGAAATGCTTTTATGCATCCCAGACCGGTCTTCTGTCTGGGTATGTCGGACTCGATACCGCCCTGGTATAATACCGACTAAAACCTCCGCTTTGTCCTTGCCTCTGGTCCCCACAGAAACCACCGTTAGGCATTACTTCGTGGGGCCTAGGGCGGCACAATTTAGGGAGCGGCACAATTTAGGGAGCGGCAAATTTTTTAGAATGTCAAAACTTTAAACTCGATAAAATGTCACGACAATTCATTTTAAGGATAGCCTGTAGAATAAAACTAAATCCTGACAATTAAACTACAATATCTGACAATTTGGTATGCTTCCACCAATTGGCATTTTTTTCAACTTTAGGAAGGCTAAGTTATAATAATCCCAAAAAATCGTAAATAAAATTGTTTATATATTTCTACGCTTCAAGATCTATAAACATTTTGACATACCTTATAAAAAATGGATGTATGCATGTGTTTGTGCGGTTACAATTTTTTGCCAATTGACATTTGATTTATAATATTGGGAGGACGTGCTGATTAGTTTTTTGCAAAGACAGTTCTATCCATTTGGAATAGGGGGCAAAAAGTTAAAAAAATGCCAAATCAATTTTTCAAAAACGGAGCGTCCGATTTGAATAATTCAAGACACATTTTACTTGTATGACGAAATAAAGAACTATCGAAAATTTTGCGAGAGCATTGTCAGCAATTTTAATGATCCAAAAAAGTGTCATTTGGTGGTATTAAAATATGATCATCGGACATATGCACATCAAATTATCAGATTTTTTATGAAAAAATATTAATTATTGCAAATTTTGTTTTAATATTTTGAACCCTCCGTACTAAGATTTTTAATTTTTAAAGTTTACTTAGATAGTTCAAGTAGATTAGATCAGATCCTTTGCAAAGGATCAATCGACATAAATGATCAAAAAATATTCGCTTGGCTTTGACCGCGAGGCGTACTGTTTATGCCAAAGCAGGTTTAGCATTTTTTAGGATAATAGCGCAGAACAGAAAGTGAAAAAGTGGTATGAAGGTTTTGAGAATACAGATCATCCTTTTGGAATGACTCAAAAAATATTTTGTTCGTGGTATTTTAATGGTATGAATAAATGATTAGTTTTCCGAAAAGGCAAGTCCACTGCTGGTTTCAAAACTTTGAGAAAATTAAATACCTAAAATTCTCAAATAATCGATTTATTTTAAAATTAAAAAAAAAACTCGAAATTTTTGAATATCTATTTATCGAGTTTAGTCCAATGAATTTTTAATTGTGAAATTAGTTCAGGCGTTTTTGAAAATTAAATTCTGATTTATCACATCATGAAAGCGTCTTTAACACAAATTTTGACTATAAAATTTTATCAAACTTTGATGAATTTTTAAAATTGTCAAATCTTTTGACTTCTGATTGATATCTTTTAGAAATCTTTTTTTAATTTTAAAAATCGGTTTCTGGCTTTATTGCAAAAACGTAATATTTTTGCTTTTTTATGCTAATTTCAAACAACCGGCTTGGTCGATCGTCTCGCAAACCTAATCGGTCCGGCCGATTTTTACCAAAAACTAATAAATACGATTCCAATCAAGATCTTTCGAATGATTTTTGAATTTTTAAAATAGGCTTAAACATTGTGGGGTAAAACGTTGACGAATTTTTTCTCTCTTCTGCTAATTACAAAAAAACGGCTGGCCGACCGATAAACCTGCCTTCCAAAAAATTAGGTAATTCTTCATTCCGTTAATACAAGTAATTGTTTTTTAATTATTTGGTAACCAGTATATCGGTTCTTTCAAAAACTGAATTGCAATTTTTGAACTTTGTTCTGTATTTTCCTATAATCAGAACTTTTTATCTATGGAATAAATAATACATACATACACACACATCAATTTTTTTTAAAGTATACCAAAATGTTCAGAAATGTCTGGAAACGTAAAAATGAGCATGAATGAGTACTTTACGCCAAAGTATTAATTGTATTTAGGATTTAGAATAAAAGTATAGTTTAATTAAAAAAGTGAACATTTGTCTATTAGAAGGGCGCTCGATCAGATAGGGCCTAGGGCGGCAAACAGCTTAATCCGCCACTGTAGTGTGGTGTGTGCGCGCGCGCGTGTGGGTGTGTGTGAGGATACAAATTTTCGTCGACGATTTCGGGAACACCGACCAACCGATTTGAATAATTCAAAAAAACATTCGACTTGTATTGATAAGGAGACGGGCTGATTAGTTTTTGGCGCAAGGCAGGTCTAACTGTTCCGAAGATCCGGGGCAAAAAGTGCCAAAATGGAAACTCAGTTTTTATGAGAACGGAGAGTGTCAGAGTCAGATTTTAATAATTCAGAAAAAATTTTACTTGTATTGACAAGATGAAGAAATGATCAAATTTTCACGAAAGCAGGTCTAGCGTTTTCGGAGATCTAATAAAAAAAGTAAAAAAAAAAAAGCCATTTGATGGTGAAAAATGACCATTAGACATATGCACATCAAATTATCAGATTTTTTATAGAGATTTTAACAATAAGTATAAATTTGTTTACATTCCTATGGGTTCCGTACCAATGTTTATCCACTAGACGGCGACGCGCTTGACTCATAGCAGTTAAAGCAGTATGATTGCTTTGAAAAAAAGTCAGTATGTCCAAAATATGTCAAAATAAAGAGAACATTTTTTCTAGTTTTTTTTTTCAAAAAAAGTAATTATTTGTCAAATTTGTAGTTTCTCAAGAATCTAATTTTTTCGAAGTAAAATTTTTTCAAAAATGTTATCGTTTTTGATAAAACAATAATTTTTGGTATGGGAAGTTCCAGCAATTTGCCTCAAGGCACGATTGCCATGCGCAACCAACTAGTTCTCTCGGCATCTACCAGCCCTCACTGGTGGGTTCCAGACAACTTAGAGAAAGTCTTAACTTATTTAGACAAAAATATAATGATTTAATCGCTAATAAATTCTTATAAAATTTAGATTCATTGAAGTTAAGAGTAGATTGACATGAATATGTTCAAATGTGCAAATCTTATGATTGAATAAATAAGCATAATTATCATATATTACCAATATTTTTCAACA